GAGGACGGCAACCTGGTGGCGTTCCGGCTCAAGGGCCGCCTGTACTATCGGACGGTGCGCGACATCCCCGCCAGCAAGGAGCTGCTCCTGTGCGGCGGGCCGTCCAGGGGGCTCCGCGGCGTCAACCTGCCCCTCCCACCCGCGCGGCCCGGGACTCGACGAGCGGCGGCGAGCACGCCGACGGTGAGCACCCGGTCGGTGAGCACCCCTACGGTGAGCACCCCCATGGCGAGCATCCCCACGGCGAGCACCCCCACGGCGAGCTCCCCCACGGTGAGCACTCTCACGGCGAGCACCCCGCCGGCGAGCACCCCAACGGCGAGCTCCCCCACGGTGAGCTCCCCGACGGCGGCCACGCCCAGGGAGGGCGCCACCACGGCGGGCACCCCTGTGGCGGGCACCCTCATGGCTGCCACCACTACGGCAGACACGCCCACGGCTAGCACCCCCACGGCGAGCACCTTTCCCTGCAAGAAATGCAACCTCTGTTTCGCGACCCCCATTCTACTCGGCCAGCATCGGGGCAGGTGCTCGATCGAGCTCAGGCGGCGTAGCACCTGTGGCGGTGGCATCTTGCTCAACTGCGGTTTGAAGATAAAAGAAGAGCAGCCACTGGGGGAAGAGTGGCCGCATGTAATGGATGTAATAGATTTGAACGAAGAGCTGCTACTGATAAAACAAGAGGTGCTTGAGGGCGAAGAGCTGCAGGAGGGCGAAGAGCTGCGACAGGTGAAGGAAGATCTGCGGCAGGTGAGAGTAGAGCTGCGCCTGGTGAAAGAAGAGCTGCGACAGGTGAAGGGAAAGAAGCTTGCAGTAGAAGAGGGGCCACGGCGACGAGAAGAAGAGTTGACGCGAGTAAAGGAAAAGGAGCGTGACGCTATGCAGGAGCCGTCACGGCGACGGCCACGGCCCCGCCGACTGAAAGGAGGGTTGACGCGGGTGGAAAAGCAGCGCGACGTCAAAGAGGGGCTACGGCCACGGCGCCGAAGAGAAGAAGAGCTGCCACAGGTGAAGGAAAAGAAGCGTGGCGCTGTAAAGGGGCCACGGCGAGAGGAAAATCTGCCACTGGTAAAAGAAAAAGAGCTTCCCGTTGAAGAGGGGCCACAGCGAGGTGAAGAGCTGTCGCGGGGAAAGGAAAAGGAGCGTCACGCTGAAGAGGGGCCACGACGAGGTGAAGAGCTGCCGCCGGCAAAGGAAAAGGCGCGTCAGGCGGAAGAGGGGCCACGGCGAGAAGAAAATCTGCCACTGGTAAAAGAAAAGGAGCTTCACGTTGAAGAGGGGCCACAGCGAGGTGAAGAGCTGTCGCAGGGAAAGGAAAGGGAGCGTCACGCGGAAGAGGGCCCACGGCGAGAAGAAAATCTGCCACTGGTAAAAGAAAAGGAGCTTCACGTTGAAGAGGGGCCACAGCGAGGTGAAGAGCTGTCGCAGGGAAAGGAAAGGGAGCGTCACGCGGAAGAGGGCCCACGGCGAGAAGAAAATCTGCCACTGGTAAAAGAAAAGGAGCTTCACGTTGAAGAGGGGTCACGGCGAGGTGAAGAGCAAGAGCTGCCTCGGTCAAAGGAAAAGAAACGTCACGCTGAAGAGGGGCCACGGCGAGGTGAAGAGCTGCCGCGGGTAAAGGAAAAGGAGCATCACGCTAAAGAGGGGCCTCGGCGAGAAGAAGTGGAGCTGCCGGACGGAAAAGACACGGCGTCACAGGAAAGAGAAGAGCAGCTTCTGGCAACAGAGTCTGTACAGGATGACAGGCCCTGGAAATGCCAAACTTGCGGCAAAGGGTTTGTTAGGATTACCCAGCTCCGTAGACACATAAAGAGGCACGCCGCTGAGAAAAACTTCGAGTGTACGACCTGTGGCAGACGGTTCCGCGAGCCCGGTGCTCTCAAGAGACACATGATGATGCACACTGGCGACAAACCGCACACCTGCCCGACTTGTGGCGCAGGTTTCTCTGTCAGTGGCAACCTCCGCGCTCACATGAGGACACACACCGGCGACAGACCTTACAGCTGCCAGGTTTGTGGCAGAAGTTTCTCTCGCAGTACCCATCTCAACACACACACGAGGACACACACCGGTGAAAAGCCCTACTGCTGTCCGACGTGTGGCAAGGGTTTCTCTCACAGCAACTCTCTTCGCGCACACATGCGGTCACACACAGGTGCAAAGCCCTACTTCTGTGAGACCTGTGGAGCTGGTTTCTCAAGTAGTTCCAATCTCTCTGCCCACATGAGGAGACACGCGGGTGAGAAACCGCACACCTGCCCGACCTGTGGCAAGGGTTTCTTGCGCAACACCGATCTAAACACGCACTTGAGGTCACACACTGGTGAAAAGCCTTACTGCTGTGTCACGTGCGGCAAACGTTTTTCTAACAGCTCCTCTCTCTGCACTCACACGAGGACCCACACAGGTGAGAAACCCTACAGCTGCCAGACTTGCGGCGCAGAATTCGCTAAAAGTTTCAATCTTCGCGCGCACATGAGGACCCACACTGGAGAGAAGCCTTTCAAGTGTCCAACGTGTGCAAAATGTTTCACTCACAGCACCTCTCTCCGTGAACACGTGAGGACCCACACTGGAGAAAAGCCTTTCAAGTGTGCAACGTGTGCCAAATGTTTCTCTCTCAGTGGCAACCTCCGCTCACACATGAGGACTCACGCTGCTGAAAAGGCTTATAGATGTCGGACCTGTGGGAAAGGTTTCAGTTACAGCGCTACTCTACGTAGACACATGAAGACACACCTGTGAAATAAAGTGTTTTTTCATTGTAGTTTTGTTGTTTTAATTTTTACTTGTGCCTTAGAGGGAGTAAGCAACCAGAATTCTCAGGAAATATCTGTAAACTTTGCTCTTGCATAAATGCTGTCGTTTGATGAAGACTTTTCATTTAATATTAAGAGCCCGACCGAACCCCGCCGGCTGATCAAAGCAGTCACGGCTACTTGCCGAACCGAGTTGCCAGCGCACTGAAGCGGAGTTGGCAACTCCGTTCGGCGGAATGACGGGCCTTCATGTTTTATTTCGCTACGTGTGTTACCTGCTCCTTCGTCAATAAATTTGGATGAAAAAAAACACACATGACATTGTTAAATTATTCAATTTCTGTCCCTATAACAACATATGTGAGTGCTCCGAATCTGGGCCGCTGCTCATATAGCATGCCACCACGAAATCGCAGAGAAGTGTTTATGTCGGATCTCTTGCTCCTAAGATGCTGACAATCACGAGTTTGTTGTGTACGCTCGTACATAATTGCGGGTACATCTGCTTGAAGCAGGAGGATTTTCCCTTCTCAGGAAAATCCGCGGGCCGCGCCGCCGGCCTTCCCGACCGCGACGTTTCCAGAATGCAGGGTGTGGGGAGGAAGGGGAAGAGGGGGGGGGGGAGATAAGCCCCCAGGTCTCGGGCCTTTGGCATCGTCACCGTCACCACCAGCACCAGCACGTCAGTCCAGTCTGGAAGTCACAGGAGTGCGGAAGCATCAATGCGTGCAATCGTTCGTTAGCGGTGCGGCGTTTGGCGCGGTCCACTTACAGCTCGACGGCATAAACCTTGCCCTTGTGGAATAAAGTGTCTTTGCAATGGGTACGTAACAAACGTTTTATCGGTTTTATCATGCTTTTAATTTTAAGACTATGGGCGTCGAGGTATTTGGGTTATTTCAGACCGGCGTAATTGTTTAATTGCACGATCGTGACCAGGAAGCGGAGTTTCGACGATGGTTCGATTTTGAGTGCGCCTAGCATCATAATGTGAAAACTGTACGGTCAAACCTGGTGCGAAGTCTGAGCGCACTCACGGCACGATAGTAATGTTTTGTGGGTTTTGTGTGTGTGTGCGTGTGTGTGAGTGTGACAGAAGTGAGAGCCC